GGTAAAGAAGTCTCATAGTTGGTGTGCTATGAAATTAATACCTGCAATCCAGATTGCTGTAGTTTACACTTTGTACGTTTCAAATCAGGTATGTACTGTTTGTACTGAGAACACCACAGAATGAACTATCCAAAGTCCATTGATTTAATAAGTGTGTTGGTTTGTAAGCAAATTATAGTAATTTCTTGCACATTTTTGGGAAATCAATTGTATAAAAAATTATGTATCTGCTTCTAGATACAGTGTGTAAATAAAAGTTTCATTCACAACATCTGCTGTCATCTGTCCAGGTGCAGGGCCTGACTTTATTAGTATATGATTAGCTAGAGTTTCGACATGTTCAATGAAATGGGCAGATACTGAAGAGTGGGAAAAAAAAATAACATTTTAGTAAAAAGGGAACTGTGAAGTGTCATTCAAGATGACCAACCTAGGGGTCAATTGATGGTGCTGATAAACTTCAGTGGTTAATATGGCTGGAATGCATTGAGAGACTTGCTAAAAGACTAAATTCAAACTAACAAAGGTAACAAAACCTTACAAAAAACAAGTTAGGCTAAGTGATAAAATGTTTGGATTGGGACATTAAAAAGTATCTCATTATTTAATAGTATTTTACCAGAAAAAAAAGTATCTATAAGAGGTTTCCAATAACCACTGAATTTTATTGTCTGCTTTGTAAAAAAAATTGTGTGTGTGTTCACAAGTTGAAACACAAGATGGTATTGGATGTCCTCTGTCACTCGCTGCCTATTACTTCTGAAAGCAGTTAGGGAAGTTTAAACAGCAAGTGCCCAAAGCAGGTGATTGATTAGCTTGAACTATTTAGGAGGCCCCCAGGCAGTAGGACCAGGACCTGTCATTAGTGCATGAGCTGACTGGAACCTAGGGCCTATGCTGGGACACTTTGCTTAGCCTGGGTGAAGGGAAGAGGGGACTGGACCTGCCTTGACTGAATCTACCAGGTTGAGCTGACTCCCCGGGGGAGACCTTGCCTTGGAGGAGGTGGGAATAAGGGGTGGATTGGGGGAAGAGTTGGGGCGGGAGGAGGGAGGACAGGGGAATCTGTGGCTGATAGTAAAATTAAATTAATTATAAAATTAAACAACAACAAAAAGATAATCCCATATAGGCAAGCTCAGAGCTAGATAAACCATGGAGGCCTGTTTCCTGGTTTTGTCCTGTTGACACTTAACACTAATTGTCATACCTTCTTTCCCAATTATTAT